CATAAAATATCAATACAATACAGAACAGGGGATAATGAAATAATGCCAGGGACCACAAGAAATAAAAAAAAAAAAACAGAAATTGGAATACAAGGTTCACAAATAGAGATAAGACAGTGTTTCAGGGAATACAGTTTAAGGCTTCAAGAGTCTTTACAGCTTTAGGACTGAAAGAGGTCCGTATAGTTCCTGAATACTGTAGTAATTCAGATAAAACAGAGACTTCTTAGCAGAAAATTTGCATTTATGGTTATGAAATTTAGCTAGAATTAATAATAGATTAATTACATAAAATTTGTTCTTATTAGCAGGGCAGACATTGTAGAAACTAAAAAGTACATCTGTGTATAAAAGTGAAAACTACTGAGGATGAGACTGAATATAACAACATCTTTCCAGAAAGAAACACGGAAGGAAAACCTCCAGAATAAGTGGATTGTTGTCTCATTGTCCAAAGGATATTCTGGTTATTCCAGATGAGAAATCTGTGAGAGGAGAAAAAATGCTTATACATTGGAGACCAAGGGAGGAGCATCTGTTTGTGACAATTGGCCATTTTTAGGGGAAGTTTTTCTATATTACAGTTAAATTTAAGTAAAAATGAAAGGCCACCAAGTTTAGAGAAAATATAATTAAGGAAAAAATTCCACAATGAGTCAGGGTTCAATAAAAAGTTTCTGATCCAATTTATTTTAAATGTGTGATTTAGGGATGAGAAATATAAAACGTTTAGACCACCTGTGTTAATGTGGGTTAAGTTCGTGGGTATTTGCAGCCAACAAGATGGTGTATCGGTCAGGATACAGGAAGGAGAGCATGAGACCAAACTTGTAGATGTGAGCTGGTTTATTCCACCTTGATACTCAGTGTTGCCAGCAGTCTGCAATAACAATAAATTGCCATTAGGCTAATGTATTACAGCAATACAGGTTCAACTTATACAAACTCAGTGAAAACCCACAGACAGTCTTTTAGCTGAATTTAACATAAGAAGCACTTTGGCGCCATCATGTGGCCAGATAAAATCTACACAATGGCGGCAACCGGCAACGCATGCCCTTAATTACTCTATTTTGCCGCGACAACTCGATGTAAAGCAGTAACAGATACGGCTGAAATACACATATAACTGAATCCAGAGTGAATAAATAGAACGCTAAATGCGGTAACTTACTTTCTGTCATCAACTCGGAGCATCATTTCTCAGTGCTACACCGGGAATGCAGTCTCACGGTTGGAGAATGCAGTGAACTGACCCGGAAGTTATGTTAGGTTGCCCTCATGAGCGTTAGCTCAGTACTAACTCAGGCTTACGTCACTTCCCAAAATGACCTCTAAACCAATATTACAAAATAAAATACAGAAAAAACATCAGAGCCTTTTATACAACCTGAGTCTTTGATGTAATGTGTTTAATTTTTCCAAATGAAATTGTAGAGCATTTTATTGATAGTTTTATAGGTATTTACATTTAATGCTAGTGCAGCATAAGTTAACCTGGATATTCCTTGAGCTTTAGATATGTCATGATTGGTGGTTGGGGAGGTGAGGGAGGACGCAGGCAGACCCAGGTTGAAGTGATGAATGATTTAATGAAGAATCCAAAAATAAGAGTCGATCTGGCAGTACAGGAGGGAAATGGAGTCGCTGCCCGTAAGCTCGGCGTGAACGAAACTACGGTTGGTTCGGTGTTGGAGACAGAGGGCTGCGTCCAGCAGGTTTAGTCCTTATGGGAAACCAACAGCGGTGGAGATACTAGTGGCTTATATATGTATGTTTCCAGTTTTTTTTTTTTTTTTTTCATTTTTTCCAAAAAATTTGTAGGTGCGGCTTACAGTATGGTGCGCTCTATAGTCCGGAAAATACGGTAAATGTCCGCGCTAACAAATAGAACAAATGTATCCAAATAACTGATGTTTTCTTGTTTTAACTAAAGTGTTTGTATGAAAAAATAAAAAGTGCATAAAAGAGTATCGACATAGGAGTGTGGCCATGGATTTGGCCATCACACATGGAATGAATTAAGGCAGGGGCGTCAAACTCCAGTCCTCAAGGGCCGCCGTCCTGCGGCTTTTAGATGTGCCTCAGGTACAAAACACTGGAATGAAATGGCTTAATTACCTCCTCCTTGTGTAGATCAGTTTTCCAGAGCCTTGCTAATAACCTAATAGTTTTATTCAGATGTGTTGCAGCAGAGGCACATCTACAAGTTGCAGGACAGCAGGACTGGAGTTTGATACCTATGAATTAGGGAGTGATCTGCTAAAGGGGTGGGGAGCTCCAAGCAGCAGCAGCCGCTCCCTTCTGAAAACAGGAATGATGAAATCATTGTTAAAGCCAGCATTAACAAGGCATTTAACTACAGAAACCTTCCAATGGCGGCGAGAAACCAAGTCCCACTGAAGGAAAACGGCCTGCAGGATGGAGGCAGACACGTGGCGGCTCTGGTTCTGGCCCGAGGGGGAAGCAAAGGGATCAAACTGAAGAACATCAAACCGCTGGCCGGGATTCCCCTCCTTGGCTGGGTGCTGAGAGCCGCCATCGACTCTGGCATGTTCAACAGGTAGGACAAACTCGCAGCGTCGACACAAACTGCTTTAAAATGCATACACTGCAAAAACACAAAATCTTACCAAGTAATTTGTGTCTAGTTTCCAGTGCAAATGTCTCAGTACACTTGAAATAAGATAAAACTAATTAGTGACTTTTCAGCAAGATATAGAGGCTTGTTTTAAGTACACAATCCCTTAATATTGCTGAAAAAATTGCTTATTACATTGGCAGACACTCTGAAGCTGCTGCCTCCCTGCCTGGAGGCTTCCAGATGTTTTTCTGCTTCACTGCTTTCCAGCCACTAACCTCAGTGTGTTTTAATACTTCTGTTTACTCTTACCTACTCTTACAAACATCAGTTTTCAGGTGTTGTCTCAGATTCTCAGATGGATTTAGGTCTGGACTTTGACTAGGTCACTCTAACACATTGAAATTATTTGGTTTATAAATGAAACTTAATTTGGTTTCCGCTCTCTTGATTTTCACTTTCATTCTTATTTGGCTGCAAATTTCCAGCTTAATTTTCCTAACCGTTGCAGAATATTTATATTAGAAATGCTGGTAACCTGAACCAGATTCCTGAAGCGTCTCTCGTTTCCAGCATCTGGGTGTCGACGGATCACGATGAAATTGAAAAAGTGGCCAAAACCTGGGGGGCCAAAGTCCACCGGAGAAGTCCTGAGGTCTCCAAGGACACGTCTTCATCCGTGGAAACCATTCAGGAATTTCTCAGGAACAACACAGGCACGAACATCACCCCTAAACTGAAGCCTTGTGAAATTGCCGGCGTCTGATAATGAAAACACTTTGTGTTTACAGAGGTAGACGTGGTCTGTAACATCCAGGCTACGTCTCCGTGTCTCCATCCGTCTCACTTACAGAAGGCCTTGAAGATGATCATGGAGGACGGATACGAGTCCGTCTTCTCCGTGGTCCGGAGACACGAGTTCCACTGGAAGGAGGTCAAGAAAGGAAGTGAGTTAAACGCCAACTGTCCTGTTTAGCTAACAGTAGGGACGAACACTGATAAATATTACTATTGCTGTTATGGTAAGTATATCTACTTACCTACCTGTTTAACACCAAACTCAGACATCAACAAGATGGATATACAATGTTTTCTAAAGGCTGTTTTCACACCTGATAGTCCAGTAAACTCCCTTGGGGACTAAAGTTGCTACATGTTACATTTTAAGCTGCTGGGGTTTGTTTTCACATTGCGCTGCATCAAATGAACCAAACAGTTTGAGAAACCTGTTCCCCTCCTCGCCTCTGGTGGCGCTGCACCAAGAACCACCAAAGGAAATGACACAGAAACCTCAGAAGAAGAAACTGAGCAACTTCTTCCTTCACAAAATGTAAACAAACGGAGTAGCGTCAGATTTTAGCGCTTGTAGGATTTTTCATTTGTCTTTGATGAAAGATCAGCAGGAAAAAGATCATTTTTCCCGCCATCTGTAGCTAGTTTGTTTTGGTTGCTTTTACCCAGAATGCCCTGCGCTGTAGTCCACTTCCTGCTTTTGGAACCGCCTCAAATAAGAGCAGAACTACTTTAGCATTTATTTATTTATTTTTTTTACTAAAGTACAAGTAACAAGTAGCGTCCCAGAAATGACTATAGTGAAAATGTATTTGGTAAATAGCCTGCTCCTGAGTAACTGATCAAATTATCAATCATTTAAAAATTACATCATCAGATAGACCAAAATGTAAAGTTAAGTGGAAATTTTGGTATTCAGGTTACTACAAACCCTGGTTTCACAGCTCATGTGAAAGCAATGAGACCGGACCAGATGGATGAAGAGGTGACGAGCGTTGCTTCACCCTTTTCTTTGTTTACAACCAGTAAAACCGGTTTTTATTTTTTGCCCCATTAATGCACGTCTAACTGCCAAATACCAGACATACATCCAGACGTTTCTTAAATTCAGGTTTAACCACTCATCCTCCAGGACCACAAGATAATGATCCAGAACGAGCCGAGACGGCAGAACAAATCCCAACGAAGGGCGAGCCTGAACATTTTGTCAGAGTGAGAACACTGACGGCAAGGAGTGCTGGAAACAAAAACCCTTCATTGCTTCACCATAGTGGAGCAATTCATCTTAAGATTAACTGTAAATTACATTTCAAATTATTCTTGAATGTGATTTTAAGATTACATTTGTAATCTAGACAGAAGGAAAGCGAAGGGAGAAGTGTACTGTAGTCATAAATATGAAGAGTACCACAGAAATCGGCCCTGGTTTCTGATGAAGGTTCCTGATGTCAACATGGTGGCCAAGAAAACATCTGAAAGATTCCTGATCCCTGGAAAAATGTTCCTTCAACCAAACAATGGGAGCCAAGAAACCCTAAAGACAAAGTCTGGTTTCTGGAGGAGATTTCTACTCAAATAGTTTTGTAGCTAGATGGCAGAACGGTGCACATTGCTTCTTTGTTCACATATATTCCCTTAAAGGGGAAGTATTATGCATTTTCCAGTCACATAATACCATTTTATAGCACAACCAAGTAACTATGTTGCTTTCAGTTCATAGAAATCAAAACAAACTTTACTTGCTGGTTTAAAATCTTGAAATTGGGCTTCTGTCTCTTTAAAAACTCCTGAAACCTTCAGGAAGACATTATGAAATCACTCCTCTATTAACCGTCTAACAGCACATGGTTCACAAAGTATTGACTCAGGAGGGGCTGAAAACTATTTGCACACCACACTTTTCAGTTTTTATTTGTAAAAAATATTTTTGAATCTCATAACAGAGTATTCCACTTTGTTGGTTTTTCACATAAAATTCCAGTTAGATGTATTTATGTTAGCGGTTGTAATGTGACAAAATATGGATTAAACATTTATTACCAGAGGTCACTGAGGACCAGATGATGCATTTCTCTCTCTCTCTCAGGCGGTGAATTGACGGAGCCAATAAATCTGGTTCCTGCGTTGCGTCCCCGCCGTCAGGACTGGGACGGAGAGCTGCATGAGAACGGCTCATTTTACATCAGCAGTAGGGACCTCATCTTTAAAGAAAATTCATTACAGGTAGCTCAACACCACTGTCAGTGGGCAGGGCCGGTCCAAGGCTTTTTGGGGCCCCATGCAGCTTTTTCTGGGGGGGGCCTCCATACCAACATGCTAACACCAGATGATTTATCATTCCTAATCTACTCTGTGTAATGTACCTGCTATCATTAGCATCATCTGTAATTAGCATAGCAGTGCTATTCTGACTTTTGATTTTAACCTTAGAGGAGTAACCGACTGTTGATTAAAGCTGTTGGATGAAGGTAATGTTAGCTAAAAGATGACTAGCTAATATCAATTAGCTGGGGGAGGGGGGGGCAGAAAATGTTTGGAAATCGCTGGGGGGGCCCAGGAGAAAAAGTTTGGAGGTAATTTTATTGGTATAGCACATTTTCAGCAACAAAGCAACTTAAAGTGCATTTCACTCAGGAAGAGTTCAAAAGTCAATATTTGATGAACCAGAAGGTTTTCAGTGGGGTTCCATGCAGTGGCCTCTTCATTTTTTCCAGAGCTGTATCTATTTTTCTATCATGCTTTAGTGCTCTTGGGTTAGGGCCCTAAGCCCCCTGGAGGCCCTAAGCAGCACTTAGCTAGTAGCATTGCCTTGGTCCGGCCCTGTCAGTGAGGTCCATTCGGTTCTTTGTGTGAAGACTTTCTGATGTTCTTCAGGGCGGGAAGGTGGCCTACTTTGAGATGGAGCCGGAGCA